TATTTTTCATTTAAATGAAATTAGCTAACAAGATTTAACGGAAACTCATATAATCGTTAATTTTAACAACAAAATTTGATGTAAAAAATAGCAGATTTTTTAAATAAAATAACAAAAATTGATGTGTTTTTGAATTTCAAATTATCTACAATGTCATTTGAATTTATATATGTTGTCTTTGATTAAATATTGGTATTATTTGGGAGTTAAATAAGCAAAAAAGTAATAATTAATTAAAAATCTAAACTTATTAAAAGAACTAAACTTGAAAAAAAAAGATAAAATGAGTATCAATTAATTAATACTAATTATTTCTATTTTGATAGCGACACTAAAGGCTTAATGCTAAAGCGGACAAATAAATGACATTTTAAACTAAAAATGCTTACCTTGCTCTATAAATTGCTAAGATTGTTTTAGCGCAGGAGATGATTCGTGCGTTAATTGCGCTAAGAATTACTTTAAAAGTTATTCTAGTACTTCTACTTGTGTCTAAAGTTGCCAAACTGGTGAGTTTTAAAATTAAAATTTTTAATGTGCTAAATGTATGGTTGAAGGATGCGCTAAATGTGATTTTAATTAGATTTGCCTCGAATGCAATCAAAATTTGATGCTAGATACTAAGAGTAACATATGTTATCTTAGGGAAGACACTTGCTCCTCTAAATTTGACTTTATTCAATAGCCTTTCAAATTAAATTAATGTGTTCAGAGTTGTCCATCTCCTTTTTATTAAAATCAAATGACATAGATTTGTGAAAAAAATCTTTAATGCTTATAATTTGATAGATTATCTGCATAACTTAATCAAAGGGTTACTTAAATTGAATAGTTTCAATAAAAATCGTATCTGATTAGAGCTAATTAATGTAATTTTGCAGTAGCTGATCAAAATTTCTAAATAATTTACACATAAGTTCTTCAAAATATGACTACCTTTGAGAAATTATATATGCCTACACCTGGCTAAGAATACAATCAAAAAAGTTTTATTATTGGGCAATATGGTGGCTGTACTGCAAATAAAACCTTGGTTGTGATGGATTTTATAAAAAATAGAATTGTTTTTTAATAAATTAACTTAGATCAAGATTACTATTTACTTTATGCAGACACTTATAATCAAATAGTATTTCTATAAGGTAGTAGTATAAAAGGTAAAATTACTTGGTATGACATTATTAAGTAATAATTAAATTCATATTCGTTTGGTAGCGTTACTCTCCTATCTGCTTTTTAAATAAATAGCTTTTAAAGCACAACTTACTACATATAAAAGTTTGAAAATTCCAGATAAACTTCTTACATGGTAAAATAATTTATTTCTTTTATCAGATAATTATTTCAATAGTATGAGATAAATATTTAGTAGAATAATAAATATTATTTTTAAAATTTAAATCAAATATAAAATAAAAAAAAAAGTATAGAACCTGAAAATACAAAAAAAATATAAAGTTTGTTTTTGAATGAAAAAATTAAAATTTTTAATCAAGAATTTAATTTTTAGAATTAAACTTTTTTTTCATTCATTTTATATGTAATAAAATAAATAATTTTGATTAAACGTTTGATTTAAAAATTTTAATATCTTCATCAAAAAATATTTGATTAAACATTTTTTACTTATTCTTTCTTCTATCAGGTTCGAAACTTGCTTCAAAACCTTTTTTTTTATTTCTTTTAATTTTTATTATTTTAGTAAATAATATTTAAAATTCTACAAAATGTATATTTCTTTCTCAAGAAATAATTATCCGAGAATAGCTATAATATACTATCTTATTTATTTATTTATTTATTTATTTATTTATTTATTTATTTATTTATTTATTTTGTTTATGTTAAAATCTAAAATAGCCTGCAATCTTGAGAGATGATAGAAGTATTAATTTTGTTAATAGTACAATAAAAATTAATTACTATTGGTTAACTTTAAGAGTGGTTTAGAAAAATGATTATCTAATTGGTGTTTTTAATGACACTCTTACTAAAGTAATTTAGGTATCGAAAATTCAATTTCAAAATTATACTGGAAATTAAACAACACTACTGTTTTCTAACCCAAATAGAAAATATATGGTTTACTATAGTGTGTTATTAAATTCAATTATTTCATATGATAATTAATATTTACAAGTATTAATTTTAGATTCTATTTCAAACTCAACCAGCAAAATTCTCAACATAACTTGTTAATCATAATAACAATTTTATTTTTATGAAAGTTTGTAATAAAATTAAACATTTGCTTTCTTTATTACTCAAGAATTACTTATAATAAACATAACTGATTATGTATTTAAATCTTAGCAGCAAAATTAATCAACTCCTTTAATTCAAAAAATAGGAACTGCTTTTATTACTAATCAAACTAAAATTACTAATGTTATATTTTCAGAAAATAATATAATAGAAATTTTATTGACTTAGATTTTGTAATCTAACAGTCAGAACTATCAATAAATAAGATTACAATATAACACATTAGATTAAACTTACAAAATTAAGTATCTTGACCCACTTTAGTATTAAAAGCTTTATTATTCTGCTGATAATAGTATTAATCAAATGTAGAATTAATTTAGTATAAATAAAAATTTAGATAAAAATTCATTTTATATATATGACAAATATCAAATATTTGCTCAGTAAGCAATAGGTGTTTAATAAATAAAATTCGCCTTGTAGAATTTATAAAAAATTTAAAAAACAAACACAAGATTATTGATGTTTTAAATGAATGATAGTTTAAATTTAAAATATTATGACTAATTTGTATAAATAGACAATAAATACTTTCTAATTAGCAAAATAAACAATTAAGTAGTAAATGAATATATTGTTGATATTTCTTCATAAAAGCTAGTTATTTCTTATTAATATGCTTACAGTAACGGTTTTACTAAATATTATTTGATGTAAAAGAGAAATTTGCTTATAGTCTAAAATGTTCCTCAAATATTTAGTTTAGATAGCTGTTAACCTATGATATAAAATCCTTTAGATAATAACTTTTCTTTAAAAAGCTTTGCTATTTTAAACGATGACACAATACTATATATAGCCTAAAATCAATTATAAGAATATTACCTATATTAAATTGATCTTGAATCTATGATAATAGCTTAGCTTTACAATTTCGGTAAAAATAATTAACCTTCGTTCTATTTTATAAATAAAAATATTTATCCTTTTCCTTTAGTTTTTAATGATATTTTGTACTTAAATTTTTAGTTTTCTTACTGCTAGCCTTTTTCTTTAAGCTAAAAAAAATTAATTTATAGTTAAACTTATTTAGTTATCCCTATGCAAGTATATGCGTTTATAAATTACTAAAAAACAGGTGATATTTTTATATTTAAAGATTCTTTAATTTACGTATATAGCTTTGATTTATCATCTTACAACTTGCTTAAATTTGGTGTATCTTATCCTTCGACTTTGAGTACTGTTACTGCTTTTAACGGCAGATATATCTTTTATTATGATTAAAGTTATATCTATAGGTTTGATATGGAGTTGAAATAAATTACTTACTTAAATGCTTAAACAGATAAAGATTTATATAAAAATTCATAAATTAATTTCTATTCATTAGATAGTTAGTCACTGTATGTTAAAAAGTCAAAAAATTTGATAGAAACAAACAACATGGTAATTATTAATAGTTCAGTTGAATATAGTAGATATATAGGAAGCATAGCTACTGATGAAAATTAATAAATATAGATTTTTTAATCTTAAAATGGAGTTTTTTGGTACACAAATCTATTTAATAATCCATTCAGCATAATAAATATTTCTAAAAACTATTTAATTTAACAGAATTAGTTAGAATAAAACTAAATTACTTTCTATGACGATAGTAACAAACAGTTAGTAATATACGATATTCTTAAATCTATCGAATAGACTATTTCAATAAATTTAGAGATTTAATTTGACTTATAAATCTCCATTATTGATTGGGATTAACCTTCCTTTTTGTGGGTAAAAGGCCAATAAATCTTTTAATATAGTGTAAACTCTAATCCTCAGATAAAAACTATTTTTGATTTAGATTCTAAAATTGTTTTCTATTAATACTGTCCAAAGTAGAAAATTATGGTAGCCAAAACAGATTCACAAACAATTTATTATATTTCAGTATACATTTTTTTTTATTTATCAAATATAAATTAAAAAATTATTAAATTAAAATAGATTCAAAATATGACTAGTGTTAAAGTTGATAATTATAATTTAGGTTAACCAAACATTCTTTTGAATGTTAACTGTGAAGAAGAAATAATACTAATTTACTGTCCATATGTTTAAATATTTGATTTAGCCACAGGTTTATCTTCAAATTCATTTGCCTATGTAATAATTTAATTAATAAAAAATAATTCTAATCTATAAAAAAAAAAAATCAAAAAACTTCCACTTTTCCCTTATCGAAATTGAATCAGTTAAAATTTTTTTGAATTTTTTGAACTGATAATAAATATTTATTATTTCAATTAATTTAAAAAAATAATAAAATAAAATAATTAAAAATAAAATTTTACTAATATTTATAAATAGAGTCGAATGAGCTTATATATGCTTATAACTTTAAATAGTTAATGCGTTGTTCCTTTAGTAAGTAAGAAATTAGGATTATTGGTAGTATTCTATAGTTAAATATTGAATGGCTTTTTTTTAAAAGACTTTACATCACTAACCTATCTGTTTGAATATAGATATAATAACACTGATTTATATTATGACGAACAATATAATATATTATTAGGAGTTACAGGTAAGCTTGCATAAGTTAATTTAATGAATATTCCTGGCATTTAATAACTATTTATCTACTAATGCGTTAGTGAGTTTGAAAATAATTCAGTTTACTTTTATAAATAAGGAACAAGCCTCATTATAGCAGACAAAACCCCTATTTTATATTTATTCAATTACCTCACTTAAAATACTATATAAATTAAAATATAAATCAGTAATATTATAGGTACGCTGATGGATGAAAGCAAAAAAGTTGTTTTTTTATATTCAAATTAGTTTATTCAAATGTATTAATTTCCTAGCATGTAATTCATTGAAACAATTACATTATAAAACTATAACATTACATCAATTATACAGGTTTTTCTAAATACCTAATTAAATTTAATTATAGCTCAAACATCTACCCACATTATATCTTTCGACTTAACAGAGACTGTGTATGCAAGTGAAACTTATCTTCTATAATACTAAAAAAATTAAAATTTATATCTAGGTTAGCAGTTCTAAGTTGGCTATAATATTGTAAACTTTTCCCTGAATCTTTTCAAAAATACTTAATTAGTGGACACTTTATTGTTTGAACCTTCTTTTTACAACATATTTCCATATCTTTCAGAGCTAATTTTGATAAAAGATAGCTTATTCATATATATTTAAATGGATAATTTAAATATCGTAAATGCAGATTTACAATAATAGTAATTAATTCTAATAAATAAAGTAAAATTAATCAACTTACCTGATAATTTTTTTTATGATTTAGCAAGCAACCAAATATATTTAATGTATTAACAAAACTATCAACTAAATAAGGTTGATCTTAATACTAATAATCTTCAGGAAATAAATGTTTCTAACTTTAATGAATTTGATATCTCCTCGTCATTAATTTGTAGTAATTTTATTATACTACCTTCAACAAATATTATATATTTTTATGATATCATAATAAAATAAACTACATTATTAAACTTTTCAAGTGATACAAAAATTTTGTTTACTTTAAAACTTTAAGGTAAAAACTTTTAGAATTATTCAACAAATTGGTGGAATATACCTTTTAATTATGAGGAAAGATACAATAATAATGATAGTTAAAAATAAGAAGAAAAACTGATATTAATAATTACCGAAAAGAATAATTTATAAATGGTCTAAGTAGTTAATATAAATTCTCAATAAATTATTTATTCTTATTAAATTCCATACTCTAAAACCACCAACTTAGTGTGTGATCCTTTTAGAAAATTGATATATTTAGTGAATAACAAAAGTCTAACTCTAGTATTTTCCTATAATTTAACTTTAATAACCAGTATTTAAAATGCTTGCTTGAAATAAGCAAAAATATCATTTGATTCTAATTATGTGTATTCTATCTGCCCAAATGATATTATCATATACAATGGTCTAAGTTTTAAATAATAATTTCCAATAATTAATTCAGGTATAAAAGAAGTATAAAACTTTATAAATACTATGTAAAATAATTACTTCATAATAATGAGTAAAAATAGTATTTAGTTGATCTAGTTAGATTTTTAATTAAACTATCAACTCATATATTAACTTAATTAAAATAATTAATAGCTTTAGAATATGTAGTTTACATCAGATGACAACCAACAAGCATATTTGAAACTATTATTTAGTTCTTATGATAGCATATAGTTTGTTAATATAGCGTTATAATAAAATAGCGCCTGCTTCATCAATATTCAGTAGCAAAATAGAACCTTAGAAAAAATTTATACAGATATTTCACTTATTTAAAGTTTAACATCTTTATAAAGTTCGAGTTAGAAGCTTAAACAAATAGAGATACAGTATTCAGAAGGATAGTGTTTGAAAAATATTGAACTTAATGAAATTAATAGCAATAATATTGACTAGAATTTTTAAGTTACATTAGTAAGTAAATCTGAGTCACAATTAGCAAATATTTGTTGGTCAGATGTAGGTATTTACTCTAAATTTATTTAAAACTTTTATTTGAAGAATATGAACTTAATAATTTAAACTAGTTAAAACTTAAACGAAAATAAATAAATGAAAAACTTTTAAATGTTTAATGTTACATTAAATATTTAAAAATCTATTACATTACAAAATTATGATAAAGTTCTTTTGTAAAATTTAATAATCAACGATTAAAATTTAGGATAAAATTAAGTTATTATTCAAAATTGTCAATTAGTATTGATTGAATAAGTTGAAATAACAAACATATTAACATTGAATTATCTTTTTATGCTAATTAATAACACCAATGTAATTATAAATCAAATTAAGATTTCTAAATGCAACTCATGTAATATTTTTGAAATAGATAATAATTAAAATGTCAGTTTATCTAATTTCTCTATTTCTTATTCGAGTTAGATATAAGCTCTCTAAATATTACTATCTTAAAATATAAGCATCACAAATTTTATAGTCTCATAGGTCTAGTTTTCATAAATTTTAAACATATTAGGATTAACAATGGTTTAAATCAAGGCTATTAGTGTTGATAATTCAAATTCAATTCAATTAATATAGATATAACCTTATATTTAGAACAATATACAATATTTATCTAATAATTCTTCTTTATAAAATATCACTTTGACTAATTCTACAAATATTACCTTAGAATTTGAAGTAAATATAATTTAAATTTCAGGCATATATATATATTAGCTAGACATAATAACAAACTGTTTCACTATTATTGCTGGACAGTTAAATATTAACAAGATTTAAATACTTAATTCAAGAGTTATTAATAATCAACTTGAGCAAACAAATTTATCAGCAATTTTACTTATTTCAAAATATAATGATTGCATTATCTAAGATGTTAATACTAATAACAACAATGTAACACTTTTATCTATGAATTAGTTAGGATTTAGTGGCAATACTTTAATATAATCTTTTTAGATTACAAACTTTACAATATAAAATTCTTTGATTGAATTAGAAAGTCTGGATAATTTAAAAATTTAAACACTAAAAGCTTAAAATATAAATGTTTTTGATAATATCAGCTCATCTATTTTATTAATAAAAAATTCTAAGAAAGTTATTATAACTGATAGTAAATTTCAAAACAATATAAATGCAAATGGGTTTGGTGGATCAATTTATTCAGTAGAAAACTAAAATATTTAGATTTTAAATTCTCTGTTCAAATTAAATTAGTGCTTAAAAGAAAATGGAGGTGCCTTAAGCATTATAAATATAATACAGATTGGAAATGTTGTAATATAAGATAGTACTTTTTTAGAAAATTAAGCCTACTTATCAACTGGTGGAGCTATAAGCTTATAAAATGCAAATTTATCTTTAAAAAACACTACT